AAAAATTGTACAGAAGGTAGAGATTTCCCATAACCACCTGCCCCACATATGCACAGCCTCCTCATTATCAAAATCCCCCACCAGAATGGTACATTTGTTACTACTGATAACCTATACTGACACATCATTATTATTCAAGTCCATAGTTTACATGAGGGTTCACTCTTGGTTTTACACATTCAATGGGTTTGGAAATGTATGCTGACATGTATCCACCATTATGGGATCATACAGAGTAGTTTCAATTCCCCAAAAGTCCTCTGTACTCTGCTTAGTCATCCCTTCCTCTCTCAGTCTGTGTATAGTCTTTTCATTCTCTTGATAGTGTCACTCACAGAGCAGGAATTTTTAATTGTAATGAAGTCCAGCTTATCAGTTCTTCCTTTCATGGATCATGCCTTCAGGGTTTATCTAAAAAGTCATCATCAAACTCAAGGTAAACTAGATTTTCTCTTATGTCATCTAAGAGTTTTATAGTTTGGCATTTCACATTCAGATCTGTGGTACATTTTTAGTTTATTTTTTGAAGAATATAATGGTTGTCTCTAGATTTTGTTTGTGTTTAGTTTATATGGATCCACAATAGCCAACAATATTGAGAGAGAATAAGAAAGTTAGAGCAATGGCACTACCCAACTTCAAGACTAGGCCTCCTTGGAGATTTCTAGGGAGCTGGAATGTCTGGCCTCATACAGTGAGTTAGGAAGTATATCCACTGCCTCTACCATTCGAAAGAGATCCTAGAGAATTGGTAAAATTTCTTCCTTAAATGTTTGGTGGAATTCACCAGTGACCGCATCTGTGCCTGATTCTTTCTGTTTTGAAAAGTTACTGACTACTGGTTCAATTTCTTTAATAAATACAGGCCTGTTCAGATTGTCTATTTCTTCTTGAGTGAGTTTTGGCAGATGTGTCTTTCAGGGAATTGACCTATTTCATCTAAGTTACCAAATCTGTGCACACAGCACTGTTCATAACATTCCTTTATTTTACCCTCTTAATGTTCATGGGATCTGTACTGATGTCTCCTATTTCAATTCTGATATTAGTAATTTATGTCCTCTCTTTTTCTTAGCCTGGTTAGGCTCACTGATTTTATTGATCTTCTCAAAGAGCCAAGTTTGCTTTGTTGATTTTTTCTATTGAGTTACTATTTTCAGTGTCATTGGTTTCTGCTGTAATTTTTATTGTGCCTTCCTCTCCCTTTTTTCTGCCTATTTTGGATTTAATTTGCTCTTTTTCTAGCTGCTTAAGGTGTAAGTTGAGATGAATAACTTTAGATCTTTCTTCTTCTGTAATATATACCTGCAGTACTGTAAATCTCCTTCTAGTCAGTTAAAGTCCAATAAAACCCCAGCAGGCTAGGGCCTGATTCTTCTAAGGACAGACATTATTCAGAAGAAAAGAATGCACTTGCATATTTCAAAATGGTTCCTTTTCCACTCCCCCCTGCTGGGAACATGGAGGGATTTTTCTTTGATACTAACTGTAAAAACATGGAAGAGCTTCAGGAATTAAAACTCACAAAGTGTGAGGGATCCCTGATGACAAGGTGTCCTTAGAGTTTTAATCTCTCAGACTTGCCCACGGTGAGCCTCCAGCAATTTGTCCACTATAGTTCAGGTTTTTGTACATCAGCCCTGGTCCCCAGGGAGGTTTCTTCTCTGATTGTGATTCCCTGTAATTATCTGTTGGTCTCTCCAATTTCGGGGCCAAATGGTTTGCCCTGTGACCTCACTTTTCCTATGGATGTAAGAAGAGTTACTGAATTTTCATTCTGTTAGTTTTTCTACATGTTAGGATGAAATAATGATTTCCAAACTTCTAACCTGTAAGAATAGAAACTAGAAGCATTAAAAAATATTAAGTATCTAATATTGTGCTAAAAAAGTTAAGTAGGAATAATTATCATTACACTCTGTAAATGTAAATCTAAGATATTTGGACCAAAAAATAAAAGCAAAAGTATGAAGGGTCATTTTATAATCTTATAATCTCTACATGAGCTACATATTCATATGTAATTGTAAATCATGTTGTCTTTTCCTAAAGGCCAAATTTAAAATAATAAAATGAATAATGCATTTAAAATCTAGCATATAGATTTTGGTCTGAAGAGCTATTCTCCTTGAAAAAGAAGTAAGTGTTCTGGGAGAATGATTGACTCCATTGCTTAGAGGTAAAAAGGAAAAAAAGAAAACTTTAGAGTGGGTCTAAATCATCTTATTCCAAGATAAAGGGTTTTTAGGAGGCTTTCAAAAGTTCTGAAATAGTATTTAAAAATCATAGATAAACCTTTCCCAATGGTCAAATTTGACATGTGACCATGAAAAACAAACAAAATTATAGTTAATTAATTTTATGACACTGATATAGTTAATTAATTTTAGATTAAGAATAATAAACAGATTTAATTTTTGCTTCATAATAGACATTTTCAATTTCTAGGAACCTCACAATTTGTAAGAAGAAAATAAGGATTCTCCTCTACTATAGAGCTTGTTTTCAAGATTTTACTTCAATTCTGTAATATTTCTTACATGCAAAATAATATCAATATTTGTATATGTGAATTACGACTCATAAGATGAATAGTACAAATTCATCACCCAAAATCAAAGAGAGAAAAAAAATAACTTAGCAATTTCTTTGATGCTCCGATGGCATGCTGTGAATTTAAGGAATAGAAATAAACTATAGAAAATGACTTTGGTTGTTCTCTCTGCGTTTCCTAGGGGAACCAGCCAATAGGACATAGACCTCCTGTCTCCCTGAAGAATGGACCGCACCTTAACTCAGCTGGCCCTGATACTGGTAGTTTCTTTCTTCCAACTAAAACTTAGCATGTGAGTCAAATATCCAGATACCAGGTAGCTGGCTTTCTCAGACAAGTCTTTTAAGTTTTTGCTAGGAAGCTGCTATTAACAGCTACTTCTTTACCCAGTCAGAATTACTCTCAATTTCTGAAGGAACCCAATCAAGAGGAAACCCTCCTTCTCTTAGACTTCCCCCAAACTCTAACACCCTCTTCCTGAGACAACCAATAGTGTCTTCTACTTTGCTCAATGAATAATGAACACAACTTGTTCAACTATGGGTGTCCCTGTGGTCTTTCTTTACTGTGCCTTTTGGCAAACACCAGTTGTTAATTTTAGTTCAAGATTTCAATCTTTTTCCTTTGTGGTTAGTGCTTTTTATATCATATTTAAGAATTCCTTTCTTACTCCAAGATCTTACAGATACATTTTTTAGATTTTCAGTTTTATGTTTTTAGTTCATCTGAAATTCACTTTTGTATGTAACACCATTTGCCAATCTCATTCTTCCCCATACAGTAACCAGTTCCCCTAGCACCAGTGTATTCAATAGTCATTCCTTTCTTTGCTTTTCCCCATTTATGTGCAGAGCCACCATTGCCATATATCAAATTAGTTTCTATACATGAGCTAGAGATTATCTGTTTTTAAATCTAGTAAGAAACACAAATTAAAATGTTAATATTGAATTAATTTCAAGGCTTGTGAAACACCATTTAAATAAGTACATAAGTAATGAAACTATAATAATGATGTTTTAAATTGATATCAGTTGATGTAATGATTCAGTAATAAAACCACGTTTTTTGTTTAATGATATAATTAAGTCAGTAAGTAATCAGTAAGACTGTGGTAGGAGAAAAATTTCACTGCAGAGGTATGTGATTACTAACAGATTTTCTTGAAAATCTCAAGTAGCACAAAATATTCTTATCTTCCATATGTACAGTACTTCACTTTTTTTATATAGTAGGAGAATCTAGACTTTAAAATGTTATGTGAAAGGAGTGCATAAACCCTGTCTTTTGAAGACACAGGAGAGTTTGAAACCAAATGGTAAAAATAGCAAGAGGGCCAAAGGGGGAAGACTGATAGGTTTCACAGCTTTCTCCACTTAGAGAGACAAAGCAACAGAAGTCTAATGATGGCTCTCAGTATTCAAAGTAATAGAACCTGAAATGATGACCTGCTGACAAAATTGGGTAAGGTAGTGAGGGGTGGCCTGTTCGGGGGGAATGGTGGGGTTTTTTTTCCTCCCAAGTTTGCTGCTCCTAAAGTTTCATCAAGGAATTTTTCAAGAGGTTAGAATTTTGTGTTAACGGCCTGCAAAGGTAAAAAGTTAAAAATCCAAATCCCTAGGCAGCAAGTATTTCTTAGGTGCTTAATTTTCATGTAATTCAGTGTTTTTTTAATATCAAAATCCAATAATTTATAAACTGAGTCTAGAGAAGATAGCCTGGGGATAGAACAATGAAATGGGAATTGAGAAGAGAATGTGAATAATCGTTCTGCCACTAATCCATGTGGAAGTGGGGTTAACTGTATGTACTCAAGATTCCTTAAATAAGTAGAATGACTGTCACCTTCATTTCCTTCCAACAGCTGAAGCTCTAAGTCATCTTAAGCAATTGTAAAATATATCCGTGGAAATCCAACTTATCCTACCTACAGTTGAGCTGAAGCCAAGCATTTGTTCATTGAGTCATAGGGCCGTTTCTCCCCATTTTTCAAACCATGATGTGAACCCTAGCTACATTCTTTTGGTGGCCTCAAAGTTGATAGGATTTGGAGAATTACACTAGTACAGGTAAGCCTCCAGTCCATATTTCCTGCATGATCAGGAAATCTCCAAAACTGTAACACCAAACGGTGCTCTTACAGGCTTTATCAGAGCAAACAAAAGGCCGGGGCTGCAATGGTGCGCGGGCCTTGCACCTGGTTCTCCAAGGGCACGCTTTCCTACTCTGTGTGCGCACGTCCTTTGCATTCTCAGGCATTAAGATCTTTTCTTAAAACAGATGTGAGCCTATTTCTTCAAAGATTCCCTCTGATCGCAGGAAGGGTGAAAGACTCCAGGAAGTGATCTAATAGCCCCGCTACGTTGCCCAGGTAGCTACAAGGTGGAGTCCGCGGAGCCGTCGCAGGGCCGCGCCCGAGGCACGCTGGGAACGCGAGGCTCCGCGGCTCTGTCTGACCCGGAAGGCCTGGCGCGGAGTCACCCCGGCTTCCCTAGCAACCGAGCAGGCGAGAGTCCTAAACAGCAGCAGCATCCGCCGCGGCCGCCTCCAGGGATGCCTCTGCAGGTTAGCGATTACAGCTGGCAGCAGACGAATGCTGCGGTCTTTATCTCTGTGCCCCTGCGGGGCGTCTGCGTCAGAGACGCGGACGTGTTCTGCACGGAAAGCTACCTGAAGGTAGGAATATGAGTCGTGACTGCCGGTTCCCGGGGGTGTGGTCCGAAGCTTGTAAGAGCGCGGCTGTGTACACCCAACAGGCGCGTGCTTGCAAATAAGCGTCCTAAAATTTTAGCCCTATTTTT